ATGTCGCATGTATGCTTTTGGAGTATCGGTAGGTGCAGACCTACAGTATTTTGTGTGGAGCCGTAGAAAATGAGTAATAAATTACTAAATTAACGAGAAATTGAAATAATTGTCATGATGGGAAACAAACTTTTGAAATTTCGAGGACTATGGGGATTCTGTTTCCATATGTTAATAAATAAACAACAAAAGCTGAAAAGCACTACAGGTGAGGCATTTTTCAAAATTTTAATGAAACACTTGTACTGTACCACACATTCATTTATTGAAATATACTATAATTTATTACTATTATATAATATTTCAACTCGATTACTACTTGTATATAATGCACATATCAATGGCCTGGCCCTGGGGGTACACCCCCGGGACTTTGCAAAAACATGATTCTAATGCATTAATTCCCCCTCCCTCCCCCGGGAAATGTGTAAGTCAAACTGCCCTCCCACTGGGCTTACAATAAAGTAGTTCATAATATAAATAGCATACAAACAATTAAAAATTATTATACAAACTGGGGTATCACAATGGCACTCATGTATTCCGTATTTATTTATTGAAATTTTAGCAAGACCACTACAAAATATCATAAATAATAAGTTGCCGATCGATATTTTTCTGTGTGAGCCTGTGATTTTGAGTTCACACCAATTATGTACTTCATTTATAAAATTCAAATTGTCACGTCAAAGTCCCCTACTTCTCCTCCCCCCATCGTCCTATTATTGAGAAGTTTGTAAGGGAGTGGTCATTATTTATGGGAGGGGGGTTGGGAAATGGGAGGGGGGGACAAAGTTTTACCCTTATAAATAGGGGGGATCAAAAAAGTTTTAACACAGAGAAAGGGGGGGGGGTCATAAAAGTTTTTGAACTTAAATACTATGTCTAGAGTTCTGATTTCTATAATCACAAATAGCAAAAAAGAAGACTCTGAAAATGCTATTTCCAACAATCTAGATACTCAAAATTTCCCTGCTTTGGGGTGGACATCTACAAAAAGGGACCATACTATATTGAGTGCAGAGAGATGACAGATGGTTGTTGGTGACAAAAAGTTTGGTGTGGTATTGTATGTACTAGTAAGGGGGTCCGGGGATTCTCCCCCAGAAAATGTTTTGTATTTTTCCACCCCTAGAACTGAAATGTAAGCATTTTCTGAAACAGATTTTTGGATATACAACGTTACATTGTGTGTTGATAGACCGAATCTGATCAGTTAAGTGTATTTGCATGGTATGTTTATGTAAATACCACAACTGGGTCACTCAGGGGGTAGCAAGCTTGTTAAACTTAGTGTGCCCGACTCCAATGATTGCGAGGCACTACCATGGTTGGTGCCCAGACAAGTTCTTAAAAAAACACTGTGTTCAAATCATTTTGCTGTATGAAGATGGGTTAGGGTTATGGTGGGACAAATGTTGCATTGCAAAGTAGTAACACATAATATATATTTTTAATCACATATGGTTGAATCATATTCACCAGGGTAAAACATCATGAGCTAGATTAAACAGATTGTCCTAATATCTAACTTTACATGCAATGCACACCTGTGTCATTGCTGTTAATTTTTCAATCTATACTGGGGGGTGGGGGTCAGAAAAGTTTCTACTTTTATGAGGGGGGAGACACAAAAAGTTTGCCTTCAGTCTGGAGGGGGTCAGAAAAGTTTTCAATCCTTATTTTCCCCATTTCCCAACACCACCCCCCTCCCCATAAATAATGACCACTCCCTAATCTCCCCGGGGTTCACAGGCAGAACACACAGATAAAATACCAAATTCCCCCTCGTTTCCCCCCAGTTGTCCCAGGGTGTACCCCCCGGGCAGGCCGTTGATATGTGCATAATTCTCTTTCAAATTGTATAAAAAGTATGTTGTTCCTTTTGCATTTCTACTATACATATAATTTTAATGTATAAATTTGTGAACACAGCCATGCTTTGTTGAAACAAAACTTATGTCGGTTTATGCATGTATCATCTAAATATTTACTTCTGTTTGTATTTTTCAGATTATGGAAACTGCACATTGTTGATCATGTCTACTCACAATGTACTCTGTGCACATTATGGGGAAAGTAAATCTGCAGTAATAAATACCCAAATGTATATGGCTCTACGTTTGTCACTGGAATCATTGTTATATTCGATGGCAATTCAAGGATCTAGCACACCAAACAATTATATATTATTTTATTAAACATATTCTTATGTGCATTTATTTATTAATTTTCATTACAAATTATATTTATTCAACATTTAAAAAGTTTAATTTAAAAATATATACAATATTATTATATTACTATTACCAGGCCATCAATAAGTATTCTTGCTTTCATACATATGTTTTATTTTGTTAATTCCATAAGGGTATTCTCGGGTTGTCCCAAATGATACAAGTGAAACACGCACATAGCTATCGCTTTTAATAAAAGAGTACTTGATGTCATATTTACTTCAATATATTTTATTGAAGCTATGCTGGATGTAATTAGCTGATATTTCCAGTGGTGGCACCAGCAGTGGGGACATCCCCCCCTTAAAATATTTTTCAAACCAAGAATATTTATTAATGGCCTAATAAATAAATTAAAATTAACACACAACACTCACACAACATTCACACATTATAACATACACAAAGTTACTTAGTGAATTTAATATCATGGCAATTGTGCCAATTATGTTGTTCTTGAACAACTGTCTGAGTGGGTTTTTGCTCTATTTGGGCACACAATTTTTGTATGCCCTCTTTTAAAACACATCCAGCATACCATTCCTAGTAAATGTACAATAAATTTTAATATAGAGGGGCCACAAAAAATTTTTGACCAGTGAAGGGGGGGGGGGCAGAAAATATTTTGAACATAAAGGGGGGGGCAAAAAATGAAATCTATAGTTTGTAACATGCAATATCAAAAGAGTGATGGATATATACAGTATACATACATTGAACAGTAATGCCCAATATATTGAACCTAAAAGTTGTGTTCTAGGCACTGTATATGGGAATTGTCATCCTCATCATCACCAAAGAATTTGTCTAAAGGGTCATGCACTGCATTTGCAAATGCAAGATTCATTTGACAGTTGTTGTCCTGCTTTTAACACAGTGGACCTCTTTTGCATGTTCTGTTTCTGCATGTTGTTGACAGTCTCTTCTGCCATCTCTTCAATATACAGTAATGCTTCCACCAGACACAAATGTATTTTTTTCAATTAGTAAAAGTAGGTCTGATTTGTGGGTTTTTTGTTTGAGGACCAACAACTTTTCAGGTATAAAGTCTGAATTATCTACTTGGCTATCATTTTCAATATTTACAATATTCTTTATTTTCAATATTTACAATATTCTTTACATCTGCTAGTAAACTGAGTATGAGGGCAGGAAAAATGGTTATGAAACTGACTTAGAGTAATTGAATTCAGAATTGGGGTGGAGGGGGGGGAGGGGGGGGGCTATGAAATATGTTGCCTCAATAAGGGGGGGGATAAAATAGTTTGTTAGAAAAATAAGGGGTCATGAAAAATTTTTGCTATTCATAAAAATTTCCTCCAGCCCCCTACCCGGCATTAATAATGACTTGTCCCTTAGCAAAGAATGTAACTCATGCACACTGTTACATATAACACTTTAAATCGCACCAATGACCTGAGCAAACCTTTGTGTAACTATTGTTGGTATTAGCATCCGGTCTCAATACTAATTTCTGGCTTTTCCCCTTTATCTCATACATATCAGCACTAAAGTGATCTGAACACAAACGACTACTTTTCGCAGGAACAGACTTCACTGTCGCATGTTTATTCATATACTCATCCCATATGCTGTACAACTCTGGATGCTTCTTTGCATCAGGAATGCTTAAATATGTGAAGGGAAAAAATTCAATAACAATATGCTTTCATAAATACAAACAGGCCTATAAAATACACTGTACAGTAGGTAGGAAAAACGCACACGAGAATATCACAAGGAACAATGGAAATATAATATTTGAATGAAACAAGCTGCATGCAAAAACCTCAGAAAAGAAGCCATAGTCGAGAAAAGCTGCTGACACATGCACGTGAACAAAACATAACTACCGTTTGCTTTACATTGTCATTTGCAGAAAAAACTTCTCGAATGATATCTAAGCACAAAATAATATTTCCTTACCAGTGTGAATACAGTCCGTCTTTGTCAAAGGAGTTGTGACAACCATAAACCGAGCAATATTAACGCGGCATGTTGACAAAATGTCAAAATATAAAGTTGTGAAACTTGATAGTTTAATAATTACACAGTGTATACCATACTTTTTGCATCCAGGGGGGTGCGAAAACAGGTGGCTTTCAAAAATATTATGTGGTCAGTGGTAAATCGCCCGAAAATAGTGGACGCGGAGCTCGAAATCCGCCATGTTTTTGCGGACACTTTTTTGTTTGACGAGATATGGGAGCACGGTCTCCAGATATATATAGTAGAGCTCAGTGGAAATACGCCTCTTGCAACACCGCGGAAAAACGTCTGCGCATGCACCAAATTATGAAAATATGGCGGGGAATTTGAATATCAATTTCTAAAACAAAAACATGCTTATTAATTGGTCAAAAATTATTAAAACAAACGAGAAAATATAGCAAATGGGTAGACTAGACATTAATTGAAAGCGTCCTG